ATCTTCTATGCCTGTACTCACTATGCTTGGCATGTGACAGGTACTAAAACATTCTTAGCTGAAATAATAGATGAAAGGAATGTAACAAGCTAGAGACAAACACAGCAAATGGGTATTTTTTAACACTTAAATGAATAAAATTTGATAATGCAAGAGTTTCTTACTCTAATTCTTGTCATCATATACAGAAGCTTTTAAAAATATTTTTATTGGGGCCAGCAAGGGGAGTGGTGGTTAAGGGCGCCAACATGGCTGACTGCAATTCAAATCCTAGAGCTGGCGACTTGCATTTTTTCTCTCTCTCTCTCTCTCTCATCAAACTAAAAAATAGAGAAACTGAATAATTCTTTTAATATATCTTTATTGTGAGAGTAGCATAACTACATTATATAAACTATCTGAAATAAAATACAATTTATGAAAACAAAGGCAGTTACAACATTTGAAGCATAAAATGCTATGAAAACTTACTGGAGACAAAACACATGATTATATGTAGTTCCCAACAGACTGACTAATTGAATGATGTTACAAAGTCCAATGAAACTAAGAGCTAGGTTTCATATCAAATTGCTTAGAATCTATTTTAATAACTATAATAATAGCAACATGCCTAACATTTTCTATGAATTCTAATCTGTTAATTCTATAGTTTAAAAGGAGGAAAGAGAAGTGAAGGAGTAAAACAGCCTGGACCAATGTATAAGATGGATGAAGATGAGGAAGAAACCAGAGATCATCAAAGTGAGCTCTCTCTTTTACACCTGTTTTTGAAAACAGCACACAAATGCCTAGAACCTCAGCTAGAGTTGACATTTGGTTCAACTCTCTTCGGTACTATGGGTAGATATCTCGTTCCAGTTTCACAGCTGTTTCTGAGGTTAAATGAAGTGATTCACGGATTGTTAGAACTCCTTACAGGAAACTCAAGGTAAGATAATTTTCATTGTCCTTGGGATCACGACATAGGCAAATGATCCCTGTATGTCATGCTAAGTTGAGTCAAACCTTACACATCAGCTTCTCTTTGGAATTTCTTTGGTGCCATAAACAATAATTCTGCTAATTCTACAGAAGTTTGAGGATGGTTTAAATTCCTCTACAGTGTGTATGCACCAACCAGGCTGAGGAGGAGGACAGAAGTCCCAGCTTTTCTTTTCTTTTTTTTTTATTTTATTTATTTTTTTATTTTTGGAGAGATTTTTACTATAGGATGCATGTAGCAAGCAAGCAATCATCCTCCCCAACCCCCAGGAGAAATCACTCCCTAGAGAAGATGGCCATGCCACAATCCCTTCTCCTCCATTCTCCTCTAGGGATTTTGGGCACACACACACACACCCATGTCCTTGAAATGTCAGTTTTAAGCCACTGGATTGAGATTCGAACCACCGTCAGCCAAGTTGAGACCAGGGCCTTAACTACTATTTCACCTGCTGGTCCTAGTCCCAACTCTTTAAAGCCCTGTCAGACTTTCCTGTAGAGCAACTACTGACCCATGAGCCACTCATTCTCCACTAAATATGGCTTTTTGTTGGCTATTTCCTACTGACAAAGCATCTTTTCATGTGGAACAACAAGTGTTACCCATGCTGAATATTAATGGGTATCAAAAAAGTGAAGGAAAAAGAATCCTAAGGACACTTTCAAAGATAGTACGCATGTGGGAACCAGCAGTTAGCGTAATGGCTGTGTCGCTGGATTCCCACGTAGTCGACCGCGGTTCGTGTCCCGGACCCGGTGGCTTAAAACTCACACCGGGCGTGTGTGCGTGCGTGCCCAAGATCCCGAGAGGAGAATGGAGGAGAAGGGATTGCGGCGTGACCATCCCCTCTGGGGGGTGATTTCTCGCTTTCTGTCTCTATGTCTCTCTCTGTCTGTCTGGCGAGCGCACGCGCCCTACAGTGAAAATCTCTCCAAAAAAAAAAAAAAGATAGTACGCATGTGTTGATATTCTCTTCAACAAGAGTTTTTCTTCAGTTTAAGACAAGTTGGCTAATTTGAATCTCTTAACACTGAGTTACTAGCTATGCCTGAAATGAAAAATGTTTTAATTTTCATGTAATACTTACATATTTCCACCTAAATCTTTCTAAGTTAAGATGCCTGGGCATCTTTCAAGATACTCTTACCTTCTTGCTCATCACCATCCATTCATGGTTTATTCTCACCCTTCAATCACCTATATTCTGTCATCTCTTAAATAATTCTGTCTATTAGGACCCGTTAAATAGATTCTTACGTTTCTTTTTTAATCCCTATATCATCTTCATCAATTATCCATTCAAAGATTCCAGGGCCTTCTCTATGCTCATGACATTAATAATGAAGGTGGGCCCTAGCCTCTGTGATAGTTAGCAGCATACTGGACCCCACAGCTGAAAGCCACAAGCCAACTAGGATTCCACTCCTCAGTCCAGCCGGCCAGAAAACACACAGGTATGTACACACATGCCCCAAATCCTGGCAGGCTGACAGACTGGAAGAAGGGGATCGTGGCATGACCAAGTCATGTGATAGTTCCCCCTCCCTCTCTTTTTGCCTTGCTCCCACAGCACTTTGTATTGAAAAGTAAATAAATAACAGAGGTGGGAATAGATTCTGGAACTGTAAATGTTGGCCCCAAAAAGAAACAAACCACCACTGTAAAGACGGAATTTCTAGCTACAAAGCATTTACATGTTAATAAAGACAATGAAACATGTGAGGCTATTAAGGAATAAGTTATACTAATGAGGAGGTAGCAGGAAAATGTTCAATATGAGGATTAAGAAATGACAAAAATGAAGCAAAAAGTCTGCTGTACACGAATGAAGGATGATATACAAACTATCATATAAAATGTTAGGATTGCTGGCATCTTTCTAATGGCTTCAAAGGCTGGCTTCATCTTTTAAAGGTATGTTAGATATGCAAAATATGGCCACAGACAAACTGTAAGAGGTAATTAATGTTTCCTCTAGGGAGTGAAGTTACAGAGAAGCATGTGGAAGTTAATGATTTAAAATAATAAGTGTCAAGTTAAATCATATCTATAAAAACAGAGATCCTATAAACCACTCTAAAAGAGGGTGATTTATATCAAAACATAAGAGGTAGCAAACTTGAGACTACTGCTAGTTCCATCTAGGACTTGGACAGGAGCACCAAGAAACTTTTAGAAGCAGAGTGTGTTACATTCATAGGTCAGTTTCTGAAGACTGGAAATATGACCTGAACCTAAATCGTTTAACTCTTACAGGTACATACAAGCATTTATGTATTTTTCTAAATCCAAGTCAATTATTTTTACCTGTGGTGCTTTTCATGGTAGTAAAGATAATATATCCACTACCTAGCATCTGAAAATACCATAAAAAGATAATATATTCATTACCTACTTCTCCAATAGCGAATACCTCAAGTTCTAGCATCACCTGGATAAACAAGATATGAGTTTTCATTTTGGATACCTGAATTTTCTTGATTACAAAATCTGTTTAAGTAAGTACAAGATTTAAACAAAGAGTAACTTGAGTCAGCAGCATAGCCTAGTAGTTGAGGGAGCCAGACCCTACCTACCATGTCTGACCATGGTTTGAATCCTGGCCTCAGCAGTTTCAAAAACATGCAGGTGCATTTGTGTGCATTCCAGAAATCTTAACAGAAAGGTGACATGGAGGAGAAAAAACTGCAGCATCACCATGTCCTGTTGGGGAGTACTTTCTCCCCTCCCTTCCCTGCCTCTGGCAAGCACATGTGTCCTCTGACAACATACATATATACACATATACATACATACATAACAGTAACTCTATATGTCCTCCTAGAATGCTTTTTTTCCCCCTTAGAATATAATCTTTTTGAGGTCTTTTCATCATGTTGATTTTGCTTAAAAACAGATTATAACTCTCTCCAGTATATCTGTCCAACTGCAAACTCCCTGGCCTAGAGTTGGCAGGTTCCATCAAGTTTGGTCTTCCCTTCAATCATATTAACTTTATCTGTCAATATTATCTCCCTCCTGCCTAAATATGCTCACTGGTTTAGAACATCCATAAAGTTTAATGTTCTCAACTTTTAAATCAATAGAATCTTTTTTTTTTTCTTTTTGGAGAGCTTTTCGCTATAGGGCATGTGTGCTCGCCAGACAGACAGAGAGAGACATAGAGACAGAAAGTGAGAAACCACCCCCCAGGGGTGATGGTCACGCTGCAATCCCTTCTCCTCCATTCTCCTCTCGGGATCTTGGGCATGCACGCACACGCGCCTGGCATGAATTTTAAGCCACCGGGTCCAGGACGTGAACCGCGGTCAACTACGTGGGAGTCCAGCGACATAGCCATTACACTAACTGCTGGTTCCCTAAATCAATAGAATCTTAATGTAATCTAATATACACTACTCTGAAAACAAATGCTGAGCAGGTCATACTAAAATTCAGTTCTTCACATTTTATTTGTTTTTGACATGGTACCAAACAGACAGTCCATGTTAAAAATGAACAGATTTTAACTTAAAAATTTTTGTCAGACTGTTTATGTAGAAATTTTCCATTTTTTATTTTTAACTAAATTCAAATCAAAGAATGTAAAACTATAACTGCCCTTTTTAGAAATTCTAAGATAATTTTTAACAGCACTTGCAATAGAGTCCTTTGACAGTCTACCAAAATAAAATCTTGACTCTGTTTGCTTAAGGGACGTAGAGATGAGAATAAAAGAATACAGAAAGAAAAAGAAAATAACTCATATTGCACTAATGTCTTTTTTATAGAGATTATAGAAACAATACAAAACCTCTAAAATAATCAGAAGAGCATGAGATATTTGTAAAATGACTTATAGGCAAAATGGATAAGAAACAATAGCAAGATTCTCCAGAATATTGGTAAAGGTATCAAAAAAATAAAAACAAAAACCCTCTTGGAGTAATATTTTCAGGGCTTTTGGAGTGATTAAAAAGAGATGACCATGTGGGTATTAAGCATGTACTCAATGATGGTAAAGATAAAAACATACCTTATTTTATTTTCCATATCTTCACTAGCTGATTCTTCAGAGCTTTTGTACTTATCTGGATCAGGAAGTGTGCTTGGATCAAATCCACCATCATCATCATCACTCCAATCCAAAAAGGCTTCTTCTTCATCTTTGGTCTATGAAATACAAGGGAATTCATGGTTTAAGAAATTAGCTGATGAATAAGAGTTTCACTTCTAGACCTAAACAGGTACCCCTCTAACTGACATCCTCATATTAGAAGCCTTCTATTCTGGTATGGGCCTGTATGTGACTTTTAGGACCATAACTATTTGCAAAGAAAACAAATATCTATGTCATTTCAAAAATAAAGCAAAATAAAATATGATTCACAAAGTAAATTGCTCTCAAGTTCCTTAAATTCAGTACAGGGGGAAATTGTCAGTGTTATTATACTGATGGAACCCAATTATCAAAAAAAAAAAAAAAAAGATAAAAGTTGTTCTAGTTTTCCCATCACAAGTTTGAAAACTCATTTATAGTGAGAGGTCTTTTAAATGAAAATACAAGTACAAAATTATTAAGAACACTGGGAAAAGGTGAACAACACCGAGAGAAAGGAAAAGGAGTAATACATGTGAGGGGACTGTGTGGAAGAAGTTAGGATCTATCCAGACTGAAGCAAGTAGACAGGCTGGGGAGCTGTCTCTTGTGGCTAGTTTATTTTTGTCAAGAACAAGATATTAAAATAGACTTACTACACATTCATGTTACAAACATCACTTATAATATTTATTTCTAGTACATTAGTTTTGCCACCTAGTAGATATAAACTCAAATAAGCACTGCCACATGCATTTAACTGAATTTCTAAGTACCACACACAAAAAGAAGTTCTACATTTTTCTCAGTAACCATCCCTATAAACTTTTTTCATATTAGGTAAGACAAATTTCAATGATTCCTTGATTTCAAATGATTACTGCTATTTCCTCAAAACTGAGTAACAACTCTGAACAATAGAGCAGTCAACTCTGTAGACCACTACAGAAGTCTTCTAACGGTTTTTGAACTGCCTTTCCTTAATAACCTCTAAACATAATAAAAGGAGGAAGAAATAATACAAAAAATTTTCACTATATAAGTACCTTACTGCTTTCTGGACAAAGCTCCTTGGTAAAAATGAAAGATTTGGAAACAAATATCAGAAGCGAGAAGAAGGTTGCCATCAGAAGCAGTAAGAAGCACACTTGAAAATATAACATCAACTTGAAAATAATCAAAGATACTAACAAAAATGGAATGACATCATACACTCAAGAACACTTCTCTCCTGGGCTATAAGATAGTTCCAATTTTCAAGTCTGCTGCTCTTTTTTTTTTTTTATGAGAGTTTTTCCACCATAGGGCGCATGCGCTCGCCAGATAGACAGAGAGACACATAGAGACAGAAAGCAAGAAATCACCCCCCAGAGGGGATGGTCACGCCACAATCAGCTTCTCCTCCATTCTCCTCTAGGGATCTTGGGCATGCACGCACACGCGCCCGGCGTGAGTTTTAAGCCACCGGGTCCGGGACACAAACCACGGTCGACTACGTGGGAGTCCAGCGACATAGCCATTACGCTAACTGCTGGTTCCCAAGTCTACTGCTCTTAAAGGGATATGCTATCTGAAAGTGGAAGCAAAGCAGACTCCAAATAGTTCTGAAATCTTCTGTTATCAGGATACCCTTACACTTAAAAAGAATAGAGGACTTCAAAAAGGTTTTGTTAATGTGTAGAATATTTACTGATAGCTACTATAATAGAAGTTAAAGCTAGGTATTTTTTAAAATGTATTTGTTAACTTATTTAATTTCCAAAATGAAAGAACATCGTTTTACATCTGTCCAAGGCTTTAAATGTCTGACTTAAAAGAAAATGGCTGGGGGTCAGCAGGTGGCTTGGTGAATGAGGTGCTGGACTTCCACGTGGGTGACCATAGTTCAAGTTCTGGACCTGGCAGCTTGCTTCTTGTGCTCTCTCTCACGCTGGCTCTCTCTCTGGTGAGCTCATGTGCCCTACAGCAAATTCAAAAAATAATAATAATACTTTTTTTTTTTAAAAAAGAGCATGGCTGAATTCTCAAACTGCTTTTGCATCCCATCTGTTCCAACATGTTGTTCTAGTGGAAGTACATGAAGAAAATCTGGCCTGTTATAGATAGGTAGTTGGGAGAGAGAAGAGTAATTTTATCATCAGCAACAATATTTTTCTTAAACTGTAAGCAACAATTATTGTTTTCCTCTGGCTGCTTTCAAAATGTTCTGTTTATCATAATAGTTGGCTATGTTATGTTTAAGAGCAGTTTTCTTTGTTGTTTGTCTTTCTTGAATCTACAAATTATTATTATTCATTAAATTTGGGAAGTTTTCAGTCATTATTTCTTCAACTGTTTTTACCCCCTTTCTCACTTCTTTCAGGACTGCAAGCACATGCATACTGACTCCATGTCAGGTCTCTTAGGTTCTGTTGATTTTTCTTTCTGTTCTTTCAACAGGGTCATTTCTACTGAGTCTTCAGGTTTGCTGTTCCTTTTTTTTTCATTGCAATCTGAAAACAGCTACTGTTAATTTACTGACCAGATTACAAAAATAATCATGGTGGATACCTTAGTTCATCCATCTAATAAATCTGTTGATCTGGTCTTCCCTGTTGCCAGCATCTCTACCTTTTACAAAATGGGTGGCCTTTTTCTTCATTCTACCATGTAGAGAAGACAATTTGAAGGGCCACAGGAAGTTATTAGATTCTTTGAAGCATTTTCCACCAGTATAGATTTCGTGAATCAGATCCTCCATGCAGATGATGCCGAATTTACCAAGAGATTGGGCAATCAAAGAGCTAGCTGTCAAAGCAATTCGCTTCTTATACACATTCGCCATAACCACGCTTGTAGATCATTTCATTTACTGACTTCAGGTTCAAGTACCCCCCGCCTCCTTGCAATATATGGTTCCACAATTCTCAGCATGTTAATTGTTATTAAGCCTTGTTGAGCTTTAACAAAGGTGCTACTGAAGATCTGGAGAAGACGAAAAAGCTGCAACATCATTCAAACCTTTGGGCTCACTCCAATGATACCTCTGACCCTGATGACAAACGCCAATTTGGGTTCTGCAGGTACATAGAAGTTGCCAGTTTTTCTTGCCATCCTGGACACAGGAATCTCAGTTCTAAACATCTGTCTACATTCCCTATGATATTGCTTAGCTATTTCATAGATAAGCTTCCTTCTTGCCTTTCAAGGCATGTTTTGAGCCACTTCTTTCTCAGGCATTTGATCGTGAGCTCTGCAAAATATCTTTGCTTTTTCTTAAAGGTTTCTGGCACAGCAGGAACCTTTTTCTTGGTGGCTTCCACTGAAGTAGGAGCATTTTGCTTGGTTTCTGCTGCAGCAGGAACCTCCTTTTACTTCTCTACTAGCCATGGATCCAGCTGGAAAAGAGCCGTGGTTACTTTCTTCTGACATTTCGAACTGCTTTAGAGCTAATCAACATTTTTTTTTTTTTAATTTCAATCATTGTACTTTTCAGCTCTGGGATTTCCGGTTTTTGTTTGTTTGTTTTTGTTTTTTAGAGGTTTTTGCTATAGGGTGCATGTGCCTTCCAGGAAGACAGAGAGAGACTGAAAGCAAGAAATCATCCTCTGGGGGGATAGCCACACCACAATCCCTTCTCCTCCATTCTCCTCTTGGAATCTTGGGCACGCACGCATACGCACCATGGTCCAGGACTTGAACCATGGCCTGCTACATGGGAGTCTGGCGACATAGCCATTATGCCAACTGCTAGTCCTGGGATTTCCATATTTTGTTCTTTCATTTTCAATAGTTTCTATTGCTCTGTTTGGATTGCCTATTTATTCATTGATACCATATTTTCCTTTTATTCTTTGAACACATTTAAAAGAGCTGCTTTAAAGTCTTTGCTAAATCAGATCTTCACAGGGGAAAACTGTAGACTTTATTATATCCATGTAACTTAACTTCATTACCAAAAAAAAAAAAAAAAGATAAAGTTGTTTAGTTGTTTTAGTGTTCTTATCCACACACATGTAAATTTCAAAACTACGAACTAAGCATCTCTTTCTATTGAGCACCTTCTTCCTGGGTATAGGTCACATTTTCCTGTTTAATTTCAAGTCTATTATTTTTGTATAAAACTTTACTCTGTGAATAAATTAGAGATATACTAGATTGTGTCATAGTTTCTGAAAATTATTAAATTTACGTTTTAATAGGTAGGTAGTTACATTGCCTGGATTCAAACTGCGAACTCTAACCCATGGTATACAACTGCTTATCTGTTTTCTTGTTGTGTCTCCTAACCCAACCACAAGAATAATGCTTTTTTAGCATAGTCTCCTATGACTCTACAGTAAGCCTGAGAAATGTGGCACCCTAGCCAAGGATTTGAGCAGAGCTGGGTTTATCTTTTCTGTGGCGGCTTCGAGGGATTTCCCAATCTCTAGTCGCCCTTTTGGCTTTGGAAGTTGTGTTCTCTCTCTCTCTCTCTCTTAGAGAGAGAGATTTTTGTTAGAGGGCACATGTGCTCATCAGAGAGACAAAGGGACAGAAAGTAAGAAATCACCCCTCAGAGGGGATGGCCAAACCAAAATCCCCTCTCCTCCATTTGCCTCTTGGGACTTGAGGATGCACACACACACACCTGTCTTAAGTTTCAAGTCACGAGGTTCAGGACTTGAACTGCATTCAGCTGTATGGGAGTCCAGCATCTTAACCACTACACCACCTACTGGCTCTGAGATCTGTACTCTTAAAATTTTAAGCAAAATACTTTGTTCAAATGTTTTAACACCTAATACCATTTATTATGCCCCTTTAAACTTTACTTATGAAGGGCCTTCACAAAGTATGTAAAATTTAATAAACCAATTAGAGGGTGAAACTTAGAATAGTATCTCCATCAATATCTCGATGTAAATGTTCATCTAGTTGCAGGAAAATACTAATTCAGAATGATGAAAACTTACTTTCAAATAGATATCATATTATAGGCTGAATACCTCTTATCTAAAATACTTAAGATCAGAAGTGTTTCAAATTTCAGAATAGTTTGGATTTTGGACTATATCTATATATAAATAATGAAATATCTTAGAGATGAGACCCT